TCTCAAAGAGCAATACAAAGAGAGGGGGATCGACCCCTTGTTACAAAATTGTCGAGTAGGCAGGAAGATGCATGAAAGCGATAAAATTACACTAACAAGCAGAAACAACACTATCGGAGGCAATAGGGCTCTGGCGTTGATGAAAACGACATCAATGGAGTTGACAGTAGCATCAAGGACCCACTGTTACTCAGGAAGAGTCAAGGAAAATAGAGAACGGGGGACAAAAGATGATGGCGCATATGCTAGTGGTGTTGGTGCCACTCTCAATGGCGACAACCTGTTTCTTTTCAGAACTCTTGACAGAAGACCGAAAAAGGATGAAAATGGGCCTTGAAAGGCCAAAAGGGGTTCCGAGGATCTCAGAGGTATGATGCCATTAGAAATTGAGGCATTTTCATTGGTGACATATATTTGAGTATCCAAGAAGCACGAGGAGATTGTCGAGACAAGTGGAGGTTACTAGGAATGGCGTCGAAGCTATTTCCAATGACTTCTTTCTATTTCGGGCTCAGAACAAAGCAAGAACGGCTCAAAATGAGCTGGGACGAACTCTAGGTTGATGATGGCCCTTCGGGAACCTAGAGGGTCACTTCAACGACTAGGATATAAGGGAAGCTTGACGGGCCCCACGGTGGGCGCCATATTGTTTATACCCAAAAAAGTGGGTAGGGAACTAGGTTCCCTCCATTAGTTTCGGGTGCAAACATGTCGAAGAGTTAGCATAGAAAGGGTCCCGTCAAATTACATTCTGGAAGCAAATAGGGCCACGAGGCCATATCCCGCTCAGATCGCCAGCAGAGAGCAGAGCCATCTTCAAGTGAACCTTAGCCTTGGAGCTCAAGGGTAATTGTAAAAGGGGTTTTAGTGAAAAAAGGGGGAGATTTAATGAGGGATACGTTTAGAAATAGAAAAGAGGAACAAAAACAATAAATAAACTTAAGAAGAAAAAGCTAAACACAGAAGACGTTATTTCATGCTCGTAAATAACAATAAAAGCATTTAAGATGCAGGTAAACAAAGTCTCTACATGATGGGGATTTAAAAATAAAAGGAAAAGGGGGAAGAGAGCCTTAATTAGGGAGAGAGGGGACGAGAGAGTTTAAAGAACAATGAATGTTTATTAATGGAAAGTGAAAAACATGGATAAAATTAAAGAGGAAGAGAGATGGGGGACCTTAAGTTGGGCCCCTGGGCTCAGCACTTGGAGTTGGCATCGATTCAGAGTAAGTAATCGCACGGTCGATCCTCATCCTTCGGGTTTTTGATGGGGCAAGTGAACATATGACGAAGAGCACCCGGAAGGTCTGATTATCTATGTAGCCCTCAGATTAAAGTGTGCTTTTGAGGTTTCAGAGTCATAATCTCAAGGGTTAGATAGTGTTTGGGTTCAATTTCTTTGGAAGAGCTTACGGACTTAATGCACAAAATCTCCGCATTTAACTCGAGGTCAAGTGCCTTATTTATAGACATTGGGTTCAACACCACTATTAGAATGTTTTTTATGCAATATTTGTCATTCATCGTTCTTCGCCTTTTGGACTTCATTCGGGGTCATTGCCAATGGCGCTAAGTCATCATTAATTGTCATTAAATGCAGTCTTCATAATTGAATGCAGTATTTAATGCTTTATAATCATGCAGCTTGGATCGGGTACACTTTTGTGGGAGTATTTTTAGAGATCGGGCGCCACTGGCAATGGCGCTCGTGCCATTCAAAACTACTCCATCAGAAAAATTCATAATGTGTCATCTTCTAGTAGTTTTTCCATACAGTGTCAGGGTGCATCGCAATTCCAAACTCCTCTGACGTAGTTCTAATTGACGATGTTTTCAGGTGACTATTCTAGCGTGTCATCCGACAAGAGGTTGAGGGGGTGTTTCCTCGACAAATTTGAAGTCGACACACCAATTCCGTATTGACAAAGAGGACACATCAGCATTACGCAACATTGGGTCATGTCTTCAGGCAGCGTCAATTTGGGTTGTCTTTGGTGTGGCGGACATCTAAAAGGCACTGACGCTGATGGTAAGGCTGTCGGGGCCCTTGACTCTCCATTCGGGTTGCTTCTTCAGTGCTCTTGTGTCCTATTTTCGTGTCGTCTCGTCATCACCATTGGGAGCAGCTTTGGGCCATTGGGAATGGCATCAGAACTCTCTGCTTCCGAGCTACTCTCAGCTTGGTAGTCTCGAGTCTTGATCTGATTTTTTTCGTACTTCAAGTGCCTTCAGCTTTGTGTGAGTGTTTCATGGGCTTGTGGGGGCCAGTTTACATATGGGTTAACGTAAGTGTGAGTGGTTAAAGTACCAAGGTGATTGGCCCAAGGTCTTTTGGTCCTCCGTGGTTTCCTCGATCAAGATCACGGTGTCTATAAAGATGTATTTTTTGTCAAGTAAGTTCACAATAGGCAACTAATATGGAATGATACTGTAGTTCACAATAGGCAACTAATATGGAATGATACTGTAGTTCTATAGATGATCGTGAAATGGTCTGTTGTTTCACAGTTTTCCAAGATATGGGGCTGTCTCCTAACATTGTGCAGTAACCAGTAGTTGAGCATTTGGTTATTGGGAAATTAGCCCAATCAGAGTCACAATAAACGGAGAGTTGTAGACTACTATTTAGTAGAGAGCAGAATTCTTTGGTCAGGTGTCCCTGTTAAGTAACGAAGAATTCGAGTAGCAACATCTAAATGCAGTTTTCAATGTTGATTCATGAACTGACTGAGGATGTGGACATGGTAGACATTGTATGGCCTTGTAATTGTGAGATATATAAGTATACTAATCAACTATCAATATGGTGCGGGGTCATCCAAAAAAGGTCCATCTTTGACAAAACAATAGATTTTGCCGCCAAAAGACCTATGTGCTAAAGAATCTCAAGAGTGTACTTCATTTGTGTGAGAATAATTCCTTTCTTAAAATGGAGAATCTCAATGTCAATAAAGTATGTCAAAGGACCTAAATCCTTAATATGAAATCGATCACTGAGAAATGTCTTGATAGTATTAATGGCATTAATATCGTTACCAGTGATCACGATATCATCTATATAAACCAGAACGTATGTGCATGAATTGCCAATAATGTAAGTGAATAAAGAATAATCAGCCTTTGATTGAACATATTCTGCTGCTAGTAAGGCATCTGAAAATTTCGCAAACCATTGCCTAGAAGCTTGTTTAACTCCATAAATGGACTTTATTCAAATGACAAACTTAGTGCTCTACCTTACGTGAAAATCCTGGTGGTATCTTCATGAATACAAACTTAGTTCTCTACCTTACATGAAAATCCTGATGGTACAACCTCTCCACACTACCATATCTCCCATTTTCAAGCGGCATGTCGAGAGACAGCAGCTGACGGGAGACTCCATCTCTGTCACTTTGTTGAAACCCTTGGTGGCCAAGCTTTTCAGTGGTATACTTGGCTTCCCCCAAACTCAGAACATACTTGAGAGGAAATGGAGAAATTGTTCCACCAACGCTTTTATGAGGTCGAGAGAGAGGTCCAAACCATCAAACTTCTCACTTTGACCTAGGAACCCGATGAACCCGTCGATCAATTCATAGCAAGATGGAGAGTTTTGGCTGCTCGCCATCCTAATCCTATGCCTGAGAAGGAAGCAGTCCAAATCTGTGTGCGAAACATGCTAGTTGAGATTTCTCTACATGTTGAGGCCTCCAATCCGACCTCCATATCAGAACTGATCTCTAAGTTGGTCCACATAGAAAGCCTGTCATGCCACCGCAGTGTGTCACGACAACAGTTTGTAAGCTCAGGAAACAACCGGGGCAATGGTGGCTCTCAAACCAATACCCGGGGCAACCAACAAAAAGGGGTGATCAGTGGAGCCATCACTGTCAATGACCTAAAGAAGGCTCCCTCTCAAACTTTGGACCTCTCCAAAGGGGTAAACACAGCGAAAGCGCCTCAGGCAGACAAACAACAACAGTCATACAACCGAGTACCCCCACCTGTGAACCTTAATCAAGATGATTATTGGACCAGGCATAAGAATAAAGTCTACCCCTTTGAAAAGGAATGGGTCCTTGCACTACTCCAATTGTTACTAGAGCAGAACATGATCGAGCTGCTAGAGACCAAATTCCCTAATCAAGCTGGACTTGATACTCATGCGAATCACTGTGCTTATCATCGAAGGATAAACCACCCACAGAGGATTGCTACACATTAAAAGACATCATTAAAGCCCTGATCTAGAAGGGTTAGATAATGCTTGAAGAGCTAAATAAAGCATTCGGGGAAGCAGAAACTTCCCACGTAGTGACTATCCAAGAGGAAGACAAAGTGCCCGATCTCCTTCGTGCCTTGTTCGTTATAAAGCTTCAAGAAGACCTCATCACACCAAAACCGGCAAGGCATCCCCGACGCCTTGCTCAGGGAATTGAGAACTATTGGTGCCGGTACCATCAGATATGGGGGCACAACCTGAGCGAATGCTCCAATTTCCATGGTATAATTGTGAAGAAAATGCAGGGTCGCCAAGGGCCTTGTAACATTCCAGAAAGAGAGCGCCAAGTCACTCCACTGGTGTGAGAGGGCCTCTGACACAAGACCCGGGTAATGATGATTTAGATTCTGCTGAATACTCGACTTCTCAGCCATGGATAGCCTATCATGGGCGTGGTTAGGTGCCTCGATCTCACCCTTCGGGTCAGGTTGACCTGATGGCCTGGTTCCGGGTTCGAGATGGACCCGGGACCTGAGATCACTTGGGAACCACGTAAAAAAGATGTGGGCAGGAGTATCAACCGGTGAGAGAGGAATTAGGGTCATGAAGCAGGACTTACCTGTCACGACCCTGCCCCCTGACCCATGTCGGGGGGCGATGGAGCACAGGATCGCGATCGGAGGTCGTGAATGATACTCAAGTGGGAGTGACTCAACGCATAAAAACACGAAATCGAGAGCAACCACGAAAGAAGACTAGAATAAAACCATTCATCCCACAATGTCAATCTAAAAGGTACAACAATTTCTATCATTCATTATCAAAAGTCTTTACAATTCTTCGAGGCGCTACTGGACCAAAATACATAAAAAGAAGTACATATCATATAGCTGAAACCACCAAAACATACTGTGAAGGTCTTCGGAAGACGGCTTCTCAAACTTCTTAATTCAGAGCTTCAAACCCTCAAACTGCCACCGACCTTGAGCATAGATGCCACCACCCTTCACTCTACAATTATGAGATTAAGATGGAATGAGCTAAAAGCCCAGTAAGCAGATCTACACCATTACAATCCAACTAGTATGACAGTGATAATGATATGCAATGCACATATATATACATATATATCCACATGTATCAAATGAAATCCCTTAATAGGGTTCTTAACATTCTAATAGTAATGTGATAAGGGCAGTTCAATATATATTATATAAGTCACAACCACCTTACTTAAAGCAGAGTAGTAAGGACAACAGATCACATGTACAGTTAAAAGTTCATGTAGAAAGCTTAAATAAGACAGGCAAACATATCTATTTACTCCTGAAGTAGAAGCCACATTGGTCAGGCTAAGCCAATCCTGAACTTGAGCCTTCTACCCTCAATCACGAGGGAGGACAATGACAAGTGGATGTCCCACTTCGTAATGCCCTCATACACACACACACATCCACAGTGCGCTTTGCGATTTTGATAGAGGGACTCCTTGTAAGACACAACCCTCTCTTTATGCCCTTATGGCAAGAGAGCGTTACACTACCATTAGGTGACCCAATACTTAATGCCCATATAGTTCTAAGGGGTGCGACCCTCCCAACTACTCATATCCTGAATCCCGTTCTATCATGGGGAGTCAAGGAAAGATCGCAGCTGCCTACACCATCATTCACAGTTGGTGCCCTTCCCAACAGGCAGCTGCTAGCACCATCATTCACACAGTAGGTGCCCATTCCCATAACACCTAAGCATCGTAGCTGCCGGCACCATCATTCACACAGTAGGTGCCCATTCGTATAACATATAAGCAGCATGATACCAACATTCACACGGGAGGTATCCATTCACATATCACATAAGCAACATGATACCATCATTCACACAATAGGTATCCATTCATATATCACATAAGCAACATGATACCATCATTCACACAGTAGGTATCCACTCACATATCACATAAACAACATGGTACTATCATTCACACAGTAGGTATCCATTCACATATCACATAAGCAACATGATATCATCATTCATACAGTAAGTATCCATTCACATAAGCAGCATGATACCATCATTCACATAATAGGTATCCATTCAACTATCACATAAGCAGCATGTTACCATCATTCACACAGTAGGTATCCATTCACATATCACATAAGTAGCTTGATATCACATTATAACGATATCAATAATTCATCATGATAGTAGCAATATCGCATTAGACAGTGGCATATCACATTTAAGTAATATCATAATGACAATACCATAGGAATGATGACATTAATCCAGTTAAGCCTTACAGCTCGATTTCCTGTCATCCAGGGCAATGACATGCGCTCACCATGAGGGTTGTAACTTTTAAACCGTTTAGAGTTTTAAGGTGATTCCAAAACTAATCTTGTACTAAACACACCTATCCTTCAAATGGAATTGATTTGAGGATAATAAAACCCATTTTACCTCTTAAAGGTTTAATGAGGTGAGGGTTAACTAGCTACACCCTGCAGTGTACAGTGGATAGCGACGTACCCTTCTTCATAGCAATATAACTTTCAAACTGTGAAGCAACTTGTGATGGTTTCAAAATCAAAGTTTAAGCTAAGACATATATCTTCGAACAAGGTCAATTCCAAAGTATTTGGATTCCTCTTAGTGGTTCAAAAACTCGTGCCAAACAAGGTGATAGTTCTAAATTTTATCAACATTGCCCACAATGACATACCTTCATAAAATGAAATATAACTGTCAATTTAAAAAGAATTTCAAAATAGTTTCTACTTGCAGGTTTTAGCCCATTCAAAGATCTTTCAAATGGATATGGTTTGGCCAAAAATAAACTTCGTTTCTCCCGTGAAATCCATTCGCAGATTTAAAATTTGTGACCATAATGTTGTTAGTGTAAATCCAGGAAAACAGTCAATAATGAGATACCTCATCATTTTGAAATATAACTTCATTTTTGTAAAGAGTTTCAGTAATGGGCAAAAGCAAATATTTTACTAGACTCATATATCTTCCCAATGGCAGCGGTTTGAGGTCAATAAGACCCCATTTAGCTGTTCAAAAATCTCTTTAAGAACACACATGTTCCTGGAATTTGACAGTGGCATATAACATATCTCAAGAATACATTCCATGGTCTTCGTTCATGGTGAGGAACATGATAACAACCATTCACTCACAATGTACACACATAACATACATTTCTCACATAATCTAAGAATTATACATTCAGTCTTTGTTACCACTTTTATTATAGAACAAAACCCCCAAATTTTAATGAAAAAGGCATAAGGATTTTTCTACATCACATACACTTTCCTTGCTTATTTCACATGCATAAATTCTCATGCATCCTTACGGCTATCATGCAATGGTGATGGATCCACTTACCTAAACAATAATGGTTCTTTCTCTAATCATCTTCACACAGCTCTCACCCACCCAACAATGGCTGCCCTCCAACAGCCGCTTCTTCCAACCTTGTGTCTGAGAGAGAGAAATGAAGTGAGAATGAGTGGCATGGGTGAGAGAAGAAGCTTAAGTACTTTTAAGGGTGGGGTGGCTGCCCAAGTGACGCCAAAGGACTTCAAAATATTAATAAGTGACACTCAAACAACATGCATTCAACAAGTGGCATACTTAACTCATGCATGTCAGAGACACAGCAGGCGCTGCTTATCTACATAGCCGGAGTTGCGGTCTCTACTCAGCCGGTGCTGCACACAACCCAGACGGCGTTGGCACTTTCTCCTCTTCTTAGCCAACGCTGGCACTTTCTCCTCTTCTCAGCCGGCGCTGCACACAACCTAGCCAGCACTGCACACAACGCCAACCGGTGCTGGCACACAACCGGACTAACGTTGGTAGACAACCCGACTGGCGTTGGCACATAACCCGACTGGCGCTGACACACAACCTGACCGGTGCTAGCACACAACCCGACCGGTGCTGGCCCTCAACCCAACTAGCGCTGCTTCTCGCAACACAGTCGTAAAAAGTCTGGGTCGTCACATTACCTCACGTGGATCCGTGACACACTCGGTTTGGCTCGCGTGGGCGCCCTCTTAGATCATATTGGAAAGCCCCTAGCTTATGGCCGGTTTGGAATCGCCTCCCTAGAACTGTTTCTCCTTTCCTGCAAACACACACACAATAAAAAGTACAGACAAGTGGGGTATATGTCCCCACCTTCTTACAGGGTGAAGTGAAAGTGAGAGAAGAAGTTTGACTGTGCGGCTAGGCTGGCACAGTGGCTAGACTAGTACAGTGACTGACCTGACGTGCATGGTAACTCAAACCGGCACGGCGACAATATTACTCAACGACATAATCAACACCGACCAATCTGGCACAATGGTTAGTTTAACGCGGCAGCAAGATGAGCACGGTAACTCAGGCCGGCACGACGACAGAACTAACAAGATGGCCAGTCTGGTGCAACGGCTAGTCTGACACGGCAGCAAGATGTGCACAGTAACTCAGACCGGCACGACAACAATACTGCTCGATGACAAGACTGACACGACGGCTCAAGGTTCAGCCTACCCTCCGGTCAAACAAGTAAAGAAGAGAAAGAGGGGAGGTGAAGACTAGCTTGACTATTGCTAGGTCTTCCAAAAGAGACGAAGGTGAAATAAAAGTGATGATGAATAAGGATGATGGAAAATGAGGTGAAATAAAAATAAGATTAGAAGATGAAACGGAATAAAAATAAAATGAATAAATTAAAATGAAATGAAGTAAAGAAAAATAAAATAAAAGGGATAAACGAAAATGACATAAAATAAGATGGGGTAAATAAAATAAAAGAGGTGAATGAAATAAAGTAAAATAAGTAATTAAAATAAACTAGAATGAGGTAAAATAAGATGAGATAATAAAATCAATGAAGTAAATAAAATAAAATAGGGTAAGGGAAAATAAGGTGAAATGGATGGAATACAGGAAAAAGGATGAAAATAAGCTAAAGGAAAATAATTGGATGAGGTTAAGCAAAAATGAAATATTAAAAAAAAAACGGTAAATTGGTGAAGGGAGGGGGAAGGTTTAGTATTAGACTATTCGGCTACTATGTGAATAAAGAGGGACTACATTAGAAAAAAAAAGGTTTAGAGAGAGAGAGCGTCCTTTGTTGCTTTAGGGGTTTTAAGGTGGGGGTGGAAACGAAAGTATCACGAAACAAAAGGGATGGAACGAAATGAAATCAACGAGAACTTAAAATGAAAAACGAAATAAGAAGTGGAAGCAGGAGTTTTGTTTTGTGGGTTTTTTTAGAGAGAGAGGGAAGAAGCGGAAGGTTGCAGCGAGAAGCTCGCGAGTGGATGAAAGTGGATAGAGGGGCTCACGATTTTACTGCAGATGGCGGAGAAGAAGATGGTTGAGCTTTTGGCTGCAAGTGGAGAGGCGACTGGTATGGTGGAGAGAGAGAGAAATAGCAGAGTGAAGGGGCTTGATGGGTTTGTAGAGAGAGAAAGAAGGGTTGTAGAGAGAGAAAGAAGGGTTGCAGAGAGAAAGGTGCGCAAGAGAGCAGGCTACTAATTGCTGTAAGCCGAGGAATTAAGTGAGAGGAGGTTTGCGAGTGGGAGTTGCAGTGAATGGGATAGGGGCGGAAATGACACGAAGAAGGTAGCGGGTAGAGGGAGAATGCTCTGGTTTCAAGTGGTGGAATAGGGATGCAGTGAGGTGAAGCAGCAAGGTGAAGGCGTAGTGAGAAAGAACTAAGTTTTGGAGTGGCTCAGCCGTGGTGGAGAAGGCTTGATGGCTGTGACTGTAGGTGATTGCAAGTTGGAGGTCGTGGATGCTAGTCAGTTGAAGAAGAGGGGCCGGCCAGGGAGGTGAACAGCAGATGAAGGGAATGCGTAATGTCGTGCGGGAGTGGGAGAGATGAAGATGGGGAGAGCTGGTAACAGTGTGGTATCGTGGCTGGGGGAAGATTCCAGTTGTGATGGCGGAAATGGTGGACGGTGGTGAGAGGACAACAAAGTGAGAGGGTGAACGTGGCAGGGATTAGCGAGAGGGGGTGGTGACTCAGGTCGCCACCTGGTTCTAATGGTGAGAGGAGGACGAAAGAGCGGGCTTGGGACACGAGGAAGAGAGGACAGCGGCTATGGCTGCCTGTATTTGGTTGAGAAGGGTGGCTGGAAGCGTGAGGAGCAGAATGGCAGTTGGGTGGTTTGCTGCAATTGTAGGAGGCGGCAGCTACAGAGGCTGTCGTCCGGTTCCAAAGAGTTATAGAAGCAGAGAAGTAGGAAAGGACAGTGGTGGGGGATGGGCTGCAGATGGCTGAGGTGGTGGCTTAGTAGTGAAGTTGGGAGTGCTCAGCCACGAAGGAAAAGGGGGTGCACGGCAAGGTGGAGGAGGAACACACAGCCGGCAGTAAGGTGGGTTACACAGGAGGCGATGTGAAGGATTACACTCACGGCGATAGGACACACACGGCGATAGAGAGAAAGGTTGCACAGACGGCGATAGGTAGAAAGGTTGCACAGGCCGCGATAAGGTATGGTAGCACAGGCGGCGTTACAGTTTGTTACAAGGGGATTGGAAAAAGAGAGAAAAAAGAGAAATAGAAGAGAGAGAGAGAAAAGAGATTTATATTAAGCCCAGGGGTACCAACAAAAAATTTCTCTTTTCATCTTCTCTCTCTCAAAACGTGACCCAACAATGTAGAAAGATCAAAATTTTTATTGTACAGTCCCTTGTACAATAATATAAAGTGATATATATAGACTTTTGTCCAAATATGGGTAGATTAATAAAAATCAACCGTAATTGTTGAAAAATTAAGATTTAATTGAATTAAAAGAAATTATCAAAATAGGTGCAAAATGGTTGTTGGTTGTTTTGCTCCTGCTTAAGAATACATGAAATTCCAAAATTGTCCCTACTACTGTCTTAAAATGTGCATGATCTTCCATGGCCGATTCGGGGTTGCTCTGATGCCCTTTTCACTTAAAGATGATTGCTTTATTGTAGGACTCATCATAGCGATCAATTTGATACCAATTTCAAGCTACAAATACCAATTTGGCCGCTCGAGGGGTTTTCAAGTCACATATGGGATTAAGCCGAAACTTAACCCGTAGGGGTTTTTAACAGTACCGAATCCAATAGCGGTGGTCCCACATTATGGGGCTCGTTTCAAGGTGCGAGAGGCTGATTTTTTCGAAATTGCTACACTGCCTTAGACATGTCAGAATGTGACGAAACTTGGCAGGTGGTCTTGTGAAGTGTGTAGGAAGATTCTAACCTATTCTGGGACAATTCAGAGACTGTCGAGAATTCCACTGTATATCAGGCTTTATTGACCGACTTCTTCCTTTATTCCATATCAGTGATCAAGGTGCTAAAAAATATCTTCAAACAGCTTGCACTGTAGAATGTTGTGCTTTGAGAGAAGCGATAAGGACAACATTCCAAAAATTTCTTTGGCTTTATTACCTTTTTCTTCCTAGCCACAGGACCACGTGAACTCCGAGGAGATCCACACAATGCTCTAACTAAGATGCTCAGACATTTGGATGCAATGTACAGGTCCATCTGTGGAGACTTTAGGGGGAGAATAGACTTTTTTGAGGGATCCTGTAGAAATCCTCACCCTCAAGGGACTATTTATGATTCTGATAGCTGAGGATTTTGTACGCACCTTGTTGGTCAGAATCAGGCCCATCTGGCAGTCGAGTGCCATGCTGAAGGGCATTTTTCCCATTTTGGTCGGGGTTTGTTTATTTTGTTGCTTGTTGTGGATGGTCTGCTGAAGGGCTTTTGGTTGACGTCCATCTGGGTGGTACATCAGATTGTACTCGGAGGGCAGGGTACCTCAGTTTATCGAGGTGACCAGTTGTGGGTATAACCCCTACCAACTGCTTGCAGTTTTGTTTGCATAACAGGTCCAAGTTCTGACTAAGTTGGCCTTTCTTGGGGCTTCTTTAGCATTTTGGAGTACGTTAGTGGCCTCGTGAGAATAGTGCTCTTCCTCGTGAGGCTTGTCTTTCCTTCTTGACAAGTCCTATGTCATTCAAGTCCTTTTTTGTAAATGGACTCAGTCTGTCGGAATCTTGCTTGATGCTCGTATTTTGGGTCCTAGTATTGTGATACCAGGGATTTTTCTCTTGAATGTGGGCTGAAGTCGCCTGTTGAGGCGAGTGTTGCATCAACCTATTTATTGGTCCAAGCATCATTTGCAGATTTTCACTTGGACTTGGAAAGTGGCGTCGTAGAGACGATTTTCATCAACTTCCTTTTTATTTGGGGCTTTTTTTACCCATGACCTTTTGGCCACCCTTATTTTCCATTTTTACTCACATTGCCCTTTCGGGTTTTCACTGTGCCCGGGCTTTTATTCACGGAACTTTTACTCATGGTTTCGTGACCATGCCATCCGTCATTTTAACTCATGGCATTCCCTTGTCCAGGTATACACCATGCCTGTTATTTTTGTGAAGGCATATTTATGGCCATGCTTTGGGACCTGTGCGAAGCTTTTTATCGTCATGCCGCCAAGACGTGCACTATAGTTTTAAGGTCATACAGCTGCACCATGGTGGTGATGAATGACAGTCTGTGGAAGCCATGGAGTGAGTATGGTGGTGGTTTTGATTCACTCTGGGGAGATGGCACGAGGCTACCTTTGAAAGATAGATGGTGAATAAGTGGAAGGTGAAAAGTGGTGACCCACTAGCTTACAACGAGTATGGATGACGGGATGGCTCGCCGTTTTGTGAGCACGGGTTTGACTCATTGGGAAATGATGAATGGTAATGGAGGAAGATGGATTTACTGAGGAGGTGATGAAGGTGATGCGTGCACACGAATAGGTCGGTTAGGGAAGACATGTGTGAAGATGCATGTAAAGAGAGTGTGCGCGTGTGTGAGGGAATGTTTAAGGTCATGCCTCCGGGACCTATGCAAAGCAGTTTAGCATCATGCGGCTAGGACGTACACTATGGTTTAAGGTCATATAGCTTAGACTGTGGCTATGCAGTTTAGAGTCATGCAACTAGGACCATGTAGTTTAAGGTCGTGCAACTCGACCTCCGCTACAGTTTCATATAGTTTGGACCATGGTGTTAAGTCTTATAATGTCATGCGGTCAGAACTTGCATTATAGTTTAAGGTCATATAGTTTGAACCATGGCTTCTTGTAAGGTCATGAAGCATAGACCATGTTGTTTAAGGTCATGCAACTAGACCTTCGCTAAAGTTTAAGGTCATATGCAGTTTAGGGTCGTGTACCTAGATCAAGGCTGTGCAGTTTTTGGTCATGCAGCACAGCCCATTGTGTGGGTTGCCATGTAGGTGAAGCTCCATGGGGGATAGGTCTATGGATAGCAACCTGACTCCCTGGGGATAAAATGATTAAGGCTATACACAAGCATAGAGCTTAGACGGAGTTGGTGGCCCGATGAGGGATGGAAAACAAAAGCGGCCTTCACTAAGGATCAGGGGGCAAGTATGGCTTCCTAAGGTGAAAGATGAAACTCCATGGGGAATAAGCATATGAAAGGTAACCCGACTCCCTGGGGATAAGATAGCTTGGTGCGAGACTGACCCACTGGGGATTGAAGGGGTAAGCATGACCTTTTTGGCATACACCTAACTCCACTAGGGATGATGGGCTGCGACACAAGTGTAACTCCTACTGGGGATGAAGGGTAGTGGCATACTCACAACTCC